AGAAAAAAATATGATGAGAGATTTGCCTTACTAATAGATAACATTCGTCGAGGTGAGCTTCACCTGTGTTTTTTTTTAAATCTTATCTACAGGTGTCCCTCCTCACAGACATGGACATGTAAACAGAAATTCTGTTTGGAATCTGACACTTCCTTATAAGCATATATTCAATAGAAGTAAAAACTTACTGTTTTTACAAGAAACGAATACATATATGTATTCCTCATAAGGGATGATGAACGTCTTTTCAAGTAATACAGATTGATCCATAAACTTACCTTGAATGAAAATTAGGGGAAGGTGGGCGTGGAGGAATATACATTAGGGGGACAAAAGTGTTGACAACAAAAAAATCGTCGCGCAACCGTCGTAAGAAAGATAACTCATATAGAAAATACTAACTGCTTTAGTAGCTGAAAGAAAATGCAAAAAAAAAAAAAAAAACAAAACAAAACAAAACAAAAAAAAAAAAAAAACAAAACAAAACAAAACAAAACTAAACTAAATACTAAACTACTTGCAGAATTCTTCGAGGAATGGATTGGTAGAGGTTCCGAACGTAATTTTGAGTAATATCTTGCCCAACGTTGAGTGCTTGCTGGTAGATCTCTTGATACGAATCTATATATTGTATCCGTTGCTGGAGTTTCCTCTTAATATACAACCAAATATTTTCAATCATGTTCAAGTCCGGTGATTGGACCGGCCAACTCATATATTTTTGTGTGATTTCTTGCGATGAATTCTTGCACGATCCGCGCCTGATGAACCGGGACATTGTCGTCCTGAAAAAGGTAGTTTCCTGCTGAAAAGCTACCTGCAATGACAGGCCAGATTGTTGTTTCAAGTCTATATGTACTTCTAAGCACTAATATTGATAAAGATAAATAGATAGAAAGGTATAGATAGATAGAGTTCCAATTTCATTAAAACAAAGACATTCCCAAACTATCACACTAAATTTGCGTCCATTTTATTTTGTTTTGGAACCAAGTCCGGTCTCAATCCTTCACCGGCTTTTCTCCATACATACACACATTTATTTTCCCCGACACATATATGACGCTCATCACTTAAAATTATATTACTTTACTCAACTGTCTCCCCATACAATGACAACCGCTTTTTTCCCTGTTGACAGTTTTAATTGTTACTCTTTCCTATAAACTCCTCTGGAAAAGTCATGCTCTTTCAATCTACGATTTATAGTCTTCGTAGAAACCACAAGATTCCTGTTTTCGTTGAATTTATCAGTAAATTCACCCAAAGGAGAAAACGGTCAACATTAATTATTATACCACTACTGATTTTTCCCTATATTAAAATTAAATCGTTAAATGTGAATAATTCCCAAGAAATCGTTGTGAATGGACTAATCCCCGTGCGTTCGTCAAATTAGCTAATCCCTGCTTCGGAAGCTAATTCACTGTTATCCGTAATTCTCTAGATTTTACAATTGCATCGGTATAATATGTTAATGGACTAATGCCCAAGCGGTAGTCAAGTGAGCTTATCCCCGTTCCGAAATTCCTCGTTATCCGTAATCCTTTATTTTATTAAGGTCTTTCGTCTTCAATGAAAGACCTTCTTATTATTTTGTTGTTTCTTTTCCACTATTATTATTATTATTCTTACCGATTTTGTGCAGAATATTTCTCAAAAACGCCTCGATAGATCTTTATGAAACTTTCAGCATTGATGGGAAATTAAATGAATTGGTGTCATTTTTAATCGTTTTGAAAACGTCACTTCCGGTCAAGAGTTACGGCCGAATTTCAATTTTTCAAATGAAGTTTTGTCTGGGCGTTTTGTCAAATATGATTAAATATAAAGTCATGAAACTTTCAGGGATGGTAGGGCTTGATTTGTAGATGTGCCTGGCGTGTTTCATTTTTTTCCGTCGACACTTCCGTTGTCAACCGGAAGTAGTATGAAATAACGATTTTTTTAAGTTTTTCATTTTCTAATGAATGTAAGTGTTCATAATAAAGTTTGAAAAAGTGCTTCACGTCTGGCTATTTCCACCGGAAGTATGTTTCGTCCAAACCGGAAGTGGTCGAAAATTGAGTATTTTTAACGAAACTTTTAGGGATGATTCCTACAAGCTCGATGTGGAAATTTAAGTCGTTTTGAGCACTTCCGTTCACACCGGAAGTGAATTTAGAAAACCGGAAGTTGTTAAGAATTGATAGACCTCACTCTTTTTTGTGCTTCTAAACATATTTTTATAAATTCATGTGCCTCTTTACCTCATCTTTAGTGGTCTTCTCGAAAAACCGGACGGAAGACCTACTCGTTGCTCGCAACGAGAGATCATATAGTTTTATTTCATTTTTTGCTTTTGTTTCGGTATAATAACACAGTTAAAAAGTATATAATTGATGGGGTTGGCAACTACCTCAATGATATAATTTAACTGTATACTAACCTTTGCAACCTTCCATACTTACGTTTGCCAATTTGTCGTGGTCGGCCTGATTTATGGCGATTTTCCAAAATTTATGAATTTTGAAATTGTCTTATCACCCTGTAAATAAACGACAAGGACTTGTTTACCGCCTGTGCTACATGTATGTCTGCAATTTTTTTCACCATTTCTGTAAATCTATACCATGACCTCTTTCAACGCTATCGACAGTTCTTCATTTGCTCGACATCAAAATGTAAACAATATATGCAGTAGACGAAAATATGACGTATGAAATCACATGACCAAGTCTTGATCTATTTGTGCCTAAAGAAATCCCTATGACGTTGACGATAAAGAATAAAAAATAAAGCTTTACGATAGGTCAGACGCAGCAAAATTTCTTCGGGCTCCATGATTTTGTCAGCATTTTTGTCCCCCCAACTGTATCTATTCAAAGGGAAATCTGACTACAAAGCCATCTTTCCATAAGAAAAAAATATTAAATAGCTATTTCTTCAGAGGACTGAGGTAGAGTTACTATTTAACCAAATGGGGAAGGGGGGGGGTGAGGGGGGTAACTCTGGGGAAAGGTTAGTGTAGATCACAAAACATTTGCGAAACTTTATTTTTGCGAGATTACCATTACATGTATAAGCGGGACATAGTTTTCACAAATTAATTTTTTATGCTATATAACCTTTACTTATACAAATAAACGCGAGAATTAAATTTTCGTAATTTCATAATAAAGTTCTCACGAATAAAACATGGTTTATAGTACTTAACATCACTGGTACTGTTGTTTTGTTAAGTAAGCTTTTTCATATCGAGGTTCAACCTTGCATTTTCAATTATTATACACTTAAAGTATATTAATGAGGGAGTTAGCAAGATTCCAGTTCCCCAAGGCCAGTCCTGGTCGAGGGGAACTCGAATCATGCTAACTCCCTCAGTGGTATACTTTTTAACTGTTTTATTATACCGATACAAAAGTAAAAAAAAAAAATAGAGGATTACGAATGACGGGGAATTAGCTTTCGGAGCGTTTGACTAACGCACGGGGATTAGTCCATTAACATATTATACCAATACAAAAGTAAAATCTGGAGGACTACATACATGTTTAACCGGGAATTAGCTTCCGAGGCAGGGATTAGCTCATTTGAGTTACGCACGTTGATTAATCCATTCACGGCGAATTCTAGGGAATTATTCTCAATTTAACATGTAATTTTTTATAGGGAAAAAAATCAGTATATTAGGTATAATAAATGTGTTTAAATAGTATTTTACGAATTTAATATATGTTTATTTATTTTAACACGTTTTCTCTCTTGTAGACTGCATAGGTGCACGTGATTATAGCTTGTGGATGACAAGGATATCAGGTGAGTATACATTTACAGTCAGAAAACAAATCAATATGTTAGTAATGGTTACATGAGGTGTTTTTCTTTTCTCAGGTAATCTGATTAATCACCAGGATGTTATATCTTTATGAATATTTCAGTGTTTTTATACTTAAGGTACAATGTTTCGATATTGTGTATCATTTATAATGAAATGATTAGATCGCAAAGATTCCACAAACATTACGTTAACAAGGGTGCCTATTCAAAAACTAATTAAAGTCACGCGCGGATCAGAAAATGGGGATGGTGTTTAGAAAACCTTTATCATTTTCATAGTTAAACGGTCCTAAATCAAACCAAAAAAAGACCTTAGAAAGCCCTCCCAAGAGAAACCCCTTAAAGTGGTAAGGAGTCATATCTGAAGTGTGTGCATGTGAGAGAGAGAGAGAGGGGTGGGTGTGTGTGTGAGGGTGTGTGTGTGTGTGTAAGGGAGGGTGAGGGTGTGTGTGTGAGTGTTTGTTTTGTTTTGTTGCCCCCCCCTCCCCCTCTTTTGGCTTGACATCTGTTATAAAATGGATGTTGACCCCGTGGAAAAATTCTTTGAATTCTGCCTATTTGTCAGGGCTCAAATACATTGCATTTGTGTATGATTACCGTATATACTCGTCTATAAGACGGGTTGCTTATAATTAGGTTGATTTTTTCAAGTTATTTTGGAGACCTTTTCCAATGATCCTCTTACAAGTCGGTACATTTTTTTATTAATATACATGTTTTTCATTTTTTTCCGGGGGCGGGGGTGACATCGGTAATTGATCTTTTATTAACAATTTGATTAAATATAAGATCGATCATTAAAGATACTTATATGCATAAACTAACCCTTAGTCTTCATTTCTTGAATAAAATAAAGATAAAAACCTACAAAATCCACTATAGTAACAGTTTAACCTGAGCTATTTATCAAATTAGTACGACTTTCTTATCAAAGCAAAAACATTATTTCAAAGGATTCATATTGTATAAACAATACTGTTTTAGCACAATGTAAATTAGAAAAAAGGACACTAAAAACATTTTTTTAAACTGATATTTATATGAATTTATCAATGAAATACTACAGATGATTAATGATTCATAAATTTTCAGCAAAGTTCTCCACGGCACACTCAGGGGAACAATTATTGATAATAAGTTTTTAAATTCTATAGATGACTTCTTTACACTGACTGATGAAGAGATGTCCGTCTTATATTGTTTTCTGTGTTCTGACTCCGGTCCTCCTGACTTCACTGACACAGAGTGGCTGGACTTGCTTAATGAGATACGTAAGGAAGTGTACGGTAAATATACTAATGTTACAAGTGAGGAAGCACAGCAGAAGCTGGACAGACTGAAGTCACGTGATTTCCTTTGGGAAGATCAAGACAAGATAACGGAGGACACAAAGGATGAGACAATGTATAGGATAGCGTCAAAAGGTTGGACTATGCCATTCTATTATAGTAGTTATGACACAGCCAGTGTGTACCTGAGATCAGGAGGATACAGCAGAAAACCTGGAGAGAAGTGTGTCATAAGTAATAGAAGTTATTGTGATTCCTTACTGATACGCCGTCTTCAGATGAACGTACTGACTCACGTCACCATGGAGGACACACGTATATATGATGAGATATACCAGATATGTAAGTCAGTGTAAAGTAATCTGATTATTTTTCTATTCGGAAAATGTTTCAAATGAATGAATTTATTAAATTCAAAAGAGTGATATAGTTATTAATTACACAGAGTGATTATATTTTTTATAGCTATTATAGATATTGATTCATTGGTCGTACACTTAAGTTAAGATTTGTAAACTAAATATTTTTTGAAATATTTATGTAGGTTTATATTCGATCTTGTTCGTGATAACAATTACTTTCATTTATAATTGAGTATACTGTTTATAAATTTATAACACATTATACATCTTCATCTGCAGTGAATGTCTCAAACCAAAAACTAGAATACAGTGACGATAAAAGAGAAGAATTTCTAATGGATCAAAGAAGAGAAGGGGAGGCTGTACATTACAGAAAAAAATCACAGGACAGTGTAGATCACGTGACGTGGCTCTGGAGATACGGGAGACCTGACATCGTGAGATCCTGTATAGGTCTCCTTCCACACAGGGATATTTACATCATCGACAACAAAGCTTACAGAAAACCAAGTAAGAAGAAAGATATAATGATGTTTTATCTAATATACATAAATATTAGGCTTAACTCTTTACAAGTTTACACGTACACTTTACATAGAAACTCCTTTCAACTGTTTCAGTATTACATGACAATCATTTTAAACTTTAGTTTCATAATTAATATCGGACTAAGTGGCGATTTTTCAGGTCGCTAGTTGCACTGTTTACCACTTACCAGTTATTATAAAGAATATGTTCGATGTCTGGTTCCTTGTCATTTTGGAATCAACAAGCTTCATGTATTGTGGTTATGGTTCTTACACAAAAAGGGGGGTGAATTAGGTGTGTTGGAAAACACCAAACCTGGTAACACACAATTTCTTAAAATTATACCATAATTGTACCATATTTTTGTATTACAGAGGTATAAAATAACTTCAGACAGATTTTCAGACAGATTGTTGATTTCGCAGTATTTGTTCATAGAAATTAATTTGCCTATAAAAGAGTGTTTATAATGCTGAAGTGATATGTGAATGAAAAAATCAAGGTACGTTATTGGTCGATTTTCGTCGAACCTTGAAATATATTGATGTTTACCTGGTGCAAAAGTAGAGAACATTATGTTTCTAACGATATATGACTTACTTATGTTTGATTACATATAACACATCGCAAATAGTGCTGAAAAGTGATGTTCAAGCAATGGTAACGTCAGTTCCAACGTTCCTTTTGCTAGACGACGTCAATGACGTACATATCTCCAGTCGCTTGCGTCATATAAAGGTCCTGCATATGTGTATAGAAATGAAGTACATGTAAGATTTTCTGCACACTAAAGATCAATCCATACAAAGATATTTTGAGAACTTTATTTGCAGTTAAGTTTACATTTTGACATTTGGGCCATGGCTGAGATGTCGTGGGGATGACAGGTTATTTACATGTGTAATGTATATAAAATCGTCAGACTGCCTGCATGTGACAAAAAACAGACTCATTACTTGAACTCTTTCTAGGAGCTCGACTCGAGTTACTGTTTTCTTATCTCTCTCTCTCTCTCCCTCTCTCTCTCTCTCTCTCTCTCTCTCTCTCTCTCTCTCTCAATATTTCATTAAGTACACCGTTACCTATATTCCTACGTACATTCTGTACATAGTTTTTTCCCTTTATTAAATATATATATTAATTTTGTTTTTAATTTCAACTATAGTTTTAATTTAACGTACATTGTATCATTTACTCAATGTGATGTGGTTCCTTTATATTAGAAAATAGACTCTATTTCTAATTAAATGCGTGTCTATGAGAAAACCATGCAAAATCCAAATTTTATTATGAAATGCATTGCGATCATTTTGACTGATTTTATTGTTTCTGATTAGCATCATGTGTCCTCTAATAAATCCCAGTATCAAAACTGTCAGGTACCTTTGGGGATCCCTATTATAGCCCTATATTCTATTTTTAGCACATTTTATGAAAATATTTGTGAAAAACACCCACAGAGAAAGAGAAAAAAATTGCAGGAAAAAATGCACTTTTATTCAAATGTTACATATTAAATACATTTAAAGGAAGTGCTCTAACTAGAAATATTTTATTTAATTTCATTTATCAACACTGATTCTGTAAAAGTGGGGTCTAAAATTAGATTAAATCAATGTGTTTAAAATACCAGTATCTTTAGAATGCTGTAAAAACCCAAGAAACGCTTAAAACATTATAAATATCAGTTTAATTGCAAAAATCCTTCAAAATCAATATATAGTTAAAAGGAATTTGGTTGCAAATGACATTATGCTAATTTAAAAATAGATTGAAGTTGGCTGAAACTATTAGAAAAATTATCTCCCTTAGTGGAACTCTCCTTATTTAAAGGAATTAAAAGTATGGTGTCTTAATGGCAGACGAAAAGATGAAGTGTTGATTTGAGGACAATATTATGATGAAAGATCTCTAGCTTTGTTGAAAGATTGTAAAATAGATTCAGCTGAATACACAAGGTATTTTAAATGCAGCACAGAAGACATTTCTGTCCCTGAAACACTTCTTATCGTTAACCATCTTGAACCATGCATCTGTTATGGGACTTGCACAGGTACTTGGGTCTTGGTTTATAAATATGTATGTACCTTATTGATATGTAAAAAAAAAAGTAAAGGTATGCAGGCTCCGTAATGGCGTCTGCTCAACTCGCTTGTTTACATGGCTTGTTCTTTGAAAATAACGCTGCACCTACCGATTTTTATGCACCGGACGTCTCGGAACACTGATTACTTATTGTAAAAACCCTCACATCTTGCAAATAATTCCTAAAACATGAGTTTTAAACACATTTTCAAACTTTTCGTTAACGTGCCCGGAACTAAGTGCAAATACTAAAAACCGATTCAAACCGACAAATTCCGGCCATTCAGACACTTCAAAAGTCCAGAGGCGTTCCGGGAAATTTAAATATAACTTCAATTATCCCAGAACTATTTTTAGTTTTCTCGGAACGCCTCTAGAATTTTGAAGTGTCTGAATGGCCGGAATTTGTCGTTTTGAATCGGTTTTTAGTATTTGCACTTAGTTCCGGGCACGTTAACGAAAAGTTTGAAAATGTGTTTAAAACTCATGTTTTAGGAATTATTTGCAAGATGTGAGGGTTTTTACAATAAGTAATCAGTGTTCCGAGACGTCCGGTGCATAAAAATCGGTAGGTGCAGCGTTATTTTCAAAGAACAAGCCATGTAAACAAGCGAGTTGAGCAGACGCCATTACGGAGCCTGCATACCTTTACTTTTTAGCTCACCTGAACCGAAGGCTCAAGTGAGCTTTTCTGATCACATTTTGTCTGTAGTCCGTCTGTCCGTCTGTCCGTCCGTCTGTCTGTAAACTTTTCACATTTTCGACTTCTTCTCAAGAACCACTGGGCCAATTTCAACCAAACTTGCCACAAAGTATCCTTGGGTGGAGGGGATTCAAGTTTGTTCAAATGAAGGGCCACGCCCTCTTTCAAGGGGAGATAATAAAGAATTAGTGAAAAATTAATAGCATCTTTTAAAAATCTTCTTCTCAAGAACCACAAAGCCAGGGAAGATGAAACTCATGTGGAAGCATCCTCAGGTAGTGTAGATTCAAGTTTGTTCAAATCATGACCCCCGGGGGTAGGGCGGGGCCACAATGGAGGATCAAAGTTTTACATAGAAATATATGGGGAAAAACCTTTAAAAATCTTCTTCTCAAGAACAGCAAAGCCATGATGAGTCATATTTATATGGAAGCATCCTCAGGTAGTGTAGATTCAAGTTTGTTCAAATCATGACCCCCGGGGGTAGGGCGGGGCCACAATGGAGGATCAAAGTTTTACATAGAAATATATGGGAAAAACCTTTAAAAATCTTCTTCTCAAGAACAGCAAAGCCATGATGAGTCATATTTAAATGGAAGCATCCTCAGGTAGTGTAAATTCAAGTTTGTTCAAATCATGACCCCCGGGGGTAGGGCGGGGCCACAATGGAGGATCAACTTTTTACATAGAAATATATGGGAAAAACCTTTAAAAATCTTCTCCTCAAGAACAGCAAACCCATGATGAGTCATATTTATATGGAAGCATCCTCAGGTAGTGTAGATTCAAGTTTGTTCAAATCATGACCCCTGGGGGTAGGGCGGGGCCCCAAAGGAGGATCAAAGTTTTACATAGAAATATATGGGAAAAACCTTTAAAAATCTTCTTCTCAAGAACAGCAAAGCCATGATGAGTCATATTTATATGGAAGCATCCTCAAGTAGTGTAGATTCAAGTTTGTTCAAATCATGACCCCCGGGGGTAGGACGGGGCCACAATGGAGGATCAAAGTTTTACATAGAAATATATAGGAAAAATCTTTAAAAATCTTCTTCTTAATAACAGCAAAGCCCTAATTGATCATATTGATATGGAAGCATCCTAAGGTAGTATAGATTTAAGTATGTCCAAATCATGACCCCTGGGGGTAGGGTGGGGCCCCAAAGGAGGATAAAAGTTTTACATAGAGATATATAGGAAAAATCTTTAAAAATCTTCTTCTCAAGAACAGCAAAGCCCTGATTGATCATATTTATGTGGAAGTATACTCAGGTAGTGTAGATTCAAGTTTGTTCAAATGTTGCCCCCCTGGGGTTGGGTGGGGCCACAATGGAGGATCAAAGTCTGAAATAGAAATATATAGGAAGATTTCTTCTGATGAAGAACTGCAAAGCCATGATTAGTCATTTTGATATGGAAGCATCATCAGGTAGTGTAAATTCAATTTTGTTCAAATGATGACCCCCGAGGGTAGGGTGGGGCCCAATAGGGGGATAGAAAATTTTACATAAGAACACATAGAAAAAATATTTCTTCTCAAGAACAGAAAAGCTATGTTTAGTCATATTGATATGGAAGCATCTTCAGGTAGTGTAGATTCAAGTTTGTTCAAATGATGACCCCCGAGAGTAGGACGGGGCCACAATGGAGGATCGAATGTAACATAAGAACATATAGAAAAAATATTTCTTCTCAAGAACAGAAAAGCTATGTTTAGTCATATTGATATGGAAGCATCCTCAGGTAGTGTAGATTCCAGTTTGTTCAAATGATGACCCCTGGGATAGGGAGGAGCCACAAGGGGGGATCAAATTTTTACAAAGGAATATATCAGAAAATTTTTTTAAAATCTTCTCAAGTACAACAAAGCCATTTGTTATTTTGACATGGAAGCATCATCAGGTAGTTTAAAATTCAAGCCCCCCCCCCCCCCCCCCACCCGGAATCTTTTCAATACTGAACTGATTTGTGCTTTTGCCTATCCACTGTGCTCAGGTGAGCGATGTGGCCCATGGGCCTCTTGTTTTACATATCAATAAGGTACATACATATTTATAAACCAAGACCCAAGTACCTGTGGGGACTTGGACCGTCTAATTTCTGTAAACACTGGTAAACATACCTACATCAGTGTACATGTACATGTATGTGTCAAACACAGAAATATACTTGGTCTACACTGGAAAATGAAAAA